ATGGGGGGAGGGGAGTTGTTACTTTGTGAGGGTGAAAAGGATAACTATTGCATTGTTCTGTACACCTGAAACTAACAATAAAAAATTAAAAAAAATAAAAAAATAAAATAAATAAAAAGGGGCCAAATATAATGTATGGTCCTGGGAAGCAAGAAGTACATTCTGATAAGCAGGATGTTTCCCCTCCCTCTCCAGCATTTTTCCTCTTCTAATGACACATCTTCTTGGTTTAGGGCATGTTCCAGCCTGCTATCTTCTCATCATTCTTTAGGAAAGCCTGTTAAGTGGGGAGGCTAAACCGTAATGTCTTGTTTTCAATATCCTGCTGAGCTAGGTATTTGTGTCCGCCTCTGTTTTCAGTACCCTGCAGAGCAGGATATCTGTGACCCAAGCAGGGGCGGCTGCAAGGGGCCTCCTAACCAGGGCTAGTTCCCTCCTTCTGCTCATCTCTACCTTTCTACCTACCCATCAGAAGCTTTTATACCTTTTAGACAAAGAAACAGTAAATGTGGAAAGAATTGACAAGTCAAAGGGGTTTGAGCCAGGGGTCGTAAATGGTGAAAAAGAAACTAGAGAGAAAAGGGTTAGTTTAACAAGGTTCGTTTATACAGCTAAGTTTTACTTCAAAGCCTAAGCCTTTAAACCAACCACCCATCTTTTATCCACTAAGCCGGTTAATTTGACTATTTTTTTTAATCTTGACTATTAATTGCCCTGAAAGTAAGTTCTAACTTGAACAGGTCTCAACTGTTCATAATGAAACCTTGCATAAATTACCTTGCATTAATTAAAAGGATAGGAAATTATCCTAAAGGAATGAAAATTGTTTGCAGTAGACCCATCTAAACAGGAATGTGTATAAACAGCCTGAATTAGCCTATTAGCTTGTGCTAAGTACATTAACTTAAAAGGAAACTTGGTTTAAAAAGTTCAACTAAAACAGTGCAGGTAGCATCACTGGTTCATAGAGATAAGTTGGTGAAAGAGAGGGTTGTCATATCAGCACCTTTTAAGGTAAAGGAGGTGGGATCCGCCTTTAACTCATTAGCCAATCAGACTCTGAGGCCACTTCTTAAAGCCACTTCCTGTCTCTGCACTTTCTCTCTCTCCGGTTGGTGGTGGGCTGGTAAGTGTGCACTTCATTTTGTTCCCTAAGTGTTTTGAATTTCTTTTTCATTTGAGCCATGTATCCTGGTGGCAGGCCTTTATTTCAAGCGAGGTTTGTAGTGTGTATGTGAGTTGTAAGGTGATTAAACTCGGCTGGTGGAGACTGGAAGAAGGCAGTGAAATGCTCTGCCTGGCTTGTTTCCACGTGGGCCTCTGCAGACCTGGGTCTGCCTTCCTTCCCTAGACCTGGTGACTGGAACAATAGACTCTGCTTCATGTACAGAGTGCATGTGTTCCTGGAAAACGTGTGGATTCGTTTTGCTTGGAGGGAAAGCTATAGTTATTATCCCAGTGCCGTTTGACTTCTGTTGTTTCCCTGGGTGAGAGGTTAGGTCTTGGGAGAAGTTCAGACCAGTACATTTTAACGCCTCTGTGTCTGCAGGACCCTGGTCCTTCCTGGGTTTGCGTGAGCTGCAGTGGATATTGTCTTGGCCCTGGTCTTTGCTCAGAGCCTTCCAGTTTTCTTAGTAAGACTAAGCAGCAAAATGAAGTCAGAAGATTTTAGTGAACCCTAAGAAGAGCTCCTAATTTCAGTGTTGCCACTGTGGTGAGGGTGCCCTAAAAAGCTTAAGATATACCAAAAAAAATCAGGGGCCTTAGCTTAGTGCAAACCTAAATCAAATTCCAGCGCCAGAGTCTACTGTTCCAGTGACCTTCAGTGAGTCATTCTGAGGCTCAGCTTTTGAGGATCAAAATATACAAAAGCCAGGCTCTAGTTGGTTGTATAATGTTAGGTGACTTCTAGAAGTAAGCAATACATTTATTTAGTATATCTTTTTTTCTCATAAAATGTTTCGCCTAGTGACCTTGAGGGTAATTTCACCAGATTCTCATTTTCCTCTTTGATATACTTTAGTTTGAATAAAGTATAGGTGTTGGTTATCTTTACAGGCAGGAGTTGTGAGAAAGACATAAACTAGTGTATGGAATGTAGTAACAGCCAGTTGTGGACCTCCCATAATCCTTATAATAGTCAAGCTTTATTGTTAAATGAATGTTATTTTTTGAGTAGGTAATACATTCACATGGTTCAACATCCAAAAGGGATTAAAGTATATACAATGAAGTCTCCTAAGCCAGCCGATTCCCTTCCCAATCAGTGTTAACAGTTTCTTGTGTATCCTTCCTGAGATATTTTCTGCAGCTATTATCAATATATGCATCTTACTCCCCTCCTTACCCTAAGATTTCCAAATGAGTAAATAGCATCCACGTTCTTTATAATGGTTACACAGCAATCTAACATGTGCGCATACCATAATTTATCCAACCTTTATTATTTGACTTTTAGGTCGTTTACAATTTGGGTTTTGATATATTGTTTATAAGGACTCTAAATACGCAGTGCTTCCAGTTATATTTATTTTATGCGTGTACTGGTGACTAGAAACCAACCAACACCATAAATATCTTGATTGAGCAATAAAGGATTTTCTATTAAAAGCAACACCATGCTGATGCTTTTATGTCTTTGCCCACTTTGGTTTAGGGATGTAATGTTGAGAAGGAATAACATGAGCCACAGAAACCACGTGGTCTTTGTATTCACAAGGGCAGAAAGGGCATGCTCACAGTGTTTACTTAGCAAAGTGTGCTGGATGTCTTCCTTAAATTATGATATTGAGCGAGTAATGCATTTTAGTGTTAAGTTAGGAAAAACTTGACTTTCGGGGGGATGTAAACATGCAAAATAAAAAAGGAAGTTTTGGAATTCCTCCAAACCTATTTTAAAAGTCTTAAAAGGCTGATAACATCATGTCTTGGGAAACATTTAGTTTTCCAGTTAGGAGGCTTTGTTGACTGGGAGAAAAATTAGCTGCTTTCTAATGGAAATATGCTTTTGTTGAGTAACTATATAAAATATATTGGAGTCTTCACTGTTAAGTAGGGAATTGAGGGGAAAGGGGGAGTGAACTCTTAAAAGATCTTAGATTTGGAAGGGCACTGTTGGTACATGAGTGACTTCCCTGGCTTCAAGATTGTTCTGAAAAGTTGAATTTGTTAGGCAGGATATCTGCATTCCTAGTCATTAAGTGGTTGAGCTTAGACACTTATTAATAGAAACAACATATTGAACATTAAAGTATATTATATTATATTTTACCTCATTTAGTCTTCACAATAGTTCTAAGGTGTAGGTGGTATTTGTCCTCATTTACAGAAAGGGAATCTAAGGCTTAGGGAAGTTACATAACTGTGCCCAAGGCCACAGCAAGTACATGGGGGAACCAGGGTTCAAATTCAGTTCTGTCCAACTTCAAAATCCATTATTTTAACCCCTAGGCTAAGTTGCCTGCCATTTATTTAGTCTCAAACTGCTTCCATATCTATAATATGGAGATGACATAGTACTTGCAAAATGAGGTAAAATATGAAAAGTGCTTTATATATTTTGATAGGCAAAGTATTATGAAATAGATAAAAATATCATGTTAATAGAGTAGAAGGTTTTATTTCCTCTTGCATCTGAATTTCAAGTTATTCCTTCCTGCTGTTTCCCTCAGGTTCTATGTTTTCATTTCATTTTTGTTAGCTCCTCCAGCAATGGGTCTGGGCTGGGTGAAATAGTGGTCTCTCAGGATGAGCTGCATGGTTAGTCATATTTCTGATCTCACCACTTACACATGCTGAGGGGATTCCTCCTGCACTAAGAGTTTAAAACAATCAGTATTCTTGGCTAAAATAGCTAACAGTGAGTAGAGACCAAAACTTGGCGGTCTGTTCTGATGGCAGTGCCCTATAGAGCTATCTCTAAAACAGTGCCAAGCACCAATATAGCATACTTCCTCAAAACAACTATGCCAAGCACCAATATTGCATACTTCCCATACAAAGTTTTGTATTTTCCTTTGTGTAAGGTTGAAGATGGAATCCACTGAAGAAAGAAGGCCTGGGTTTTCGGCACCTTGTTTGCCAGCCCAGAAGTGGCACTGTGAAAGCCTTCATAACATCTGCTGCCGACACCCTAAAAAGCAAGTGGGCTCAGATTAGGACATTCTCAGTAGGAATGGTTAAAGTCCGATGGGACCACAAAGGCAAATACTAGAACTTTGACCAAGATATGTTGCCATAAAGTGTTCTCTGTCACCTGTACATATATGTATGTTTCTTTTCCATCTAAAAAAGGTAAGAGGTTCTTTGAGTTACCATTGTATCCCAAAATTGCTAGACACAGTAGAAAGAGTAAAATTGAGTAGTAATATAATAAAATATAATAAAACAGAAGCATCAGTTGTTACCAATTGTTAGTTTGTATCAGGCCTTCATGAAACATCTGTTCACATATATAAAATGAAACTGGTGCCATGAGCACTAGTACTTTGAAGCACTTACTTCGCACAGGGAACAAAATGAGTGGGTCATTGATTGTTTATGGGGTATTTACAAAATAATTTATACTCAGTAAATACGATGTGGCCTTCACATGGTAGAATGACAGCTTGCTGAAGCATAACTAGAACCCTGCAGGGAGCATCCCACATTGGGAAAGGCATCATGTATTTAACACCAGGATTTATGTGCCAGGCTTGGTGCTATGTGCTAAATACACAGAGACCAGGCCCTTTGCAATCTGGATTTTGTTTGTGAGATGAGACAAATAGAAGTTGCACCTTTAAATCTGTAACTGTTCTCCTGTAAGAAGTACTTGGATCATGGAGTTTTGAGGTAGACATAATTAGAACTATAGAAACCTCTGACTTCATGTTTTGCTTCCTGTCTTCATTCCTGCTGATCTGAAAACATTCTCCATAATTAAAGCATTCAAGTACCGGACAGGAAAGGAGTAAAATAACACTTGGATTATATCTCTGAGATACTTAAAACCACCTCAGTTTCTTTCCAACCTACTGAGCCAGTATGTTCTCATTACATCCTAAAGTAAGCCATCTCCTGTAGCTCTGCTGCTTACTGCATGTAGGTAGTGGCATGTTGAAGCGAAAATAGGGAGTTTTGACAACTGGACTTAAATCCTAGCTCTGAATAGCTAAGTGACCTTGGGAAATGTAACTTCTCTGAACCTCAAATTTCCTTTTAAATATGGGGCTGTAATTTTTGAGTAAAATGATTCTATGGTTCTGTCATCTTATTTTAATCATACTTCTCCTTCAAGGCACTACTGTCCAAAAGAACTTTCTGCAATGGAAAGTTTTATATTTGTAATGTCCGATATGGTAACCATTAGCCAAATTTGGATATTAAGCAGTTAAAAAGTGACTGGTATGACAGAAATTTTATTTTAAATTAGATTTTCATTTAAATGGCTGTGTGTGGTATTACCTATTGGACAGTGCAATTTTTAAGAACTGAGATATGTCACATAACATTAGTTTCAGGTATACAATATAAAGATGCTGTATTTGTATATATTGCAAAGTGATCACCACAGTAAGTCTGGTTAAGATCCATTACTACACCTAGATAAGAAATTATTTTTCTTGTGATGAGAACTTTTAAGATCTACTGTCTCAGCAACTTTCAAATATACAGTGCAGTTTATTTTAAGTGCAGTTTTAATACTCATTCAAGACCTACCTTTTTCTTTTTTTTAATCAATAGGATGTTTTATTCAATTTAATCCTGGAATGAAAATAATCATCACATTTTATAATAAGCATGTCTAATATCAATTTTATATTATCTGTTTATTCTGTATAATCAAACATAACTGCTAGCCTTGTTCCTTCCTCTAACATTCTTTATGAAGCCTCCCTTGATCAATGATTCTTTTAACATTACTTGCTTTCTCTACCACTTCTTTAGTGTTTACCATGGACATTAATTTTCATGAGTCATGTCTTTTCTAGCTAGATTGTATTTGAGGTGATAAATTTTAAATTCTTTACATTGCTGTATGAAAAGGAACATGATAACAGTACAATTGTAATACTTTTAGTTAATAAGTTTTAAATGATTAAATGTAAGAGAAAATTTTTCTAGTTAGTAATTAGATGAAGAATAAGGAATAGTCTGAAGGGTTGCCTGCAGCAATAAACTTTGGCTCCAGTTGGTTTCACCTGAAAGTTCAGATTACACTCAAACTCCGGAAGAGGAAATTAAAGCTTATATTGCCATCTTGTGGCTGACTTGGGCTCCAAGTGATGTGAATTCAGTTTTGCTATATCAAGGGAAGGTTTTCTTTATTTTTTTGCGATAAAAAGTTTACCAAGGGTAAAGGTTAAATACAGCCGGTTTGGGCTCAAATGAAATTGGAATGTGCTTTGAAAAAAACTGCTTTGGATAACCGTCTTATTTATCTGACGTTTAGCTTTTTTTTTTAGGATTTTGTGAATTTAATTACTGGTTACATGTGTTCTGCAGCCACACATGCCTGTGGAGTTGAGAGGCTGACAGTAACCAATGCCATTTGTGCCTCATCTCCCTGCATTTACTCCCATGGCTGCCAAGTTCTGGTTGCAGCCAGCACATGGCTCTTGACCTTTGCATACCTTTTCTCTTATTGTGAGACTGTTGGCATTTATAAACTTTCAGAGGCTGGTTACACTTTTGTACAGTTTTTCCCAACCTTTTATTAAATTTATTCAAAAATTTAATGAGCTTGTGTAGAAGTCCTGCCCTAATCTGATATTGAGTTCGGGCATTTGATGATATTCTGCATATAGATGGGTCAATTTATATTACTAAGTGGAGATTCAAATAAAGAAGAGCAATTTTCCTTGAGGCTGTATGGGTGTGACTTGGTGTGGAGTAGGCTGGTGTGCATTCAAGTCTTGTCATAAACTCTGTGTTTTTTTTCCCCCCAGAGATATGCTAAGTAGTTGATAGATTCTGTAGTTCAGCTTCATTCCCAGATAGATGCTGGATTCACCTGATCCCAGAGGTAAGTGTGAACGAAAAACATTCATTTTTACCTCAGTTGAATTTCTAATTACCTAGCAAGTTTTGGGGCTCAGTGTTCATAGGGGCTGAGGTTTGGTAGTTGAAAAAGCCTTGGTTCTAACCTTAAGATTTTCCTGGTTTAGGGATGAGGAGCCGGTGGTGGTTTGCCCTTCACCAGTCATTTACAGTTTGCCATGATGAAATGCATGTTAAGTCCGTGTTTCAGCTGATCATCCTGATTAAACACATGCTCTGAGCAGACTAAAGCTAGGGCAAACACCTGGAATTGAATTCTTGGAATACTTACTGGGATCCAGTCGATGATCCCAAGTAATTCTTAAATCTTTATGCATTTGATACTATAACACTTGTTGTGCGTTGATCTTTTCATCAAAAGATCTCTTTGAGATAGAACTAGTCAAGAATCTTTAAAAATTCAAACAGTACAGAAAAAGACTGATAACAGGGATAGTTCTATCAACCACTTGGCCGTTTTTAACTAATCACGATTTTATTAGTCTATATATAAGGTTAAGAGAATCTGAGTCAGTTAAGTCAATTTTGTCAAGATCATATAATGCAACACTATAGTCACTTAAAAGTTACGTTACCTTTCTTTTTATTATTTTTAATTAAAATTTATTGGGGTGAAAAATGGTTAGTAAAATTACATAGATTTCAAGTGTACATTTCTACAATACATCATCTATACATCACATTGTGTGTTAACCACCCAGTCAGTTCTCCATCCATCACCATATATTTGACCCCCTTTACCCTCTCCTACTATCCCTCCTTCCCCCTTATCCTCTGGTAACCACTGAACTATTGTCTATGAGTTTTTGTTTATTTGTTTGTCTTGTTTCTTTGTTGCTTTCAGTTTTATATGCCACATATCAGTGAAATCATATAATTTTTGACAAAGGAGCCAAAACCATACACTGGAGAAATGAAAGCCTCTTCAATAAATGGTGCTGGGAGAATTGGAAACCACATGCAAAAGAATGAAACTAGACTGCTGTCACCATGTACCAAAACTAACTCAAAATGGATCAAAGACCTAAACATAAGACCTGAAACAATAAACTGTATAGAAGAAAACATAGGTACTAAACTTATGGACCTTGGGTTCAAAGAGGATTTTGTGAATTTGACCTCAAAGGGAAGAGAAGTAAAAGCTAAAATCAATGAATGGGACTATGTTTACCTTACTTGAAATGGGAGGATATTCATGATACATTAAATTAAAGATAAGTTACAGGGTAATACGTATAATCTTTTTTCTGCTTAAACATTTTTATATACTTCTTTACTTGAGAAATCATCTGAATATATTCTAATACTAGGGATTATGGTCTCTAGAATTGGATTCTATGGGTTATCTTGTTAACCTGTATTTTCTGACTTTATTATATCATGCATTATATAATTTGAAGTTATTTTTAAACAACCTAGATGGGAGAAGCTTGTATTCTTTACCTGTACCTGCACGTTTCAACAAAGAATGGGGTATATATGAGGGTAAAGTACAGGAAATACAAATAATTCAAAGTAACCTCAGCTCTTGAAATAGTTTTTTTAGCTTTTGGCTATGTCTTTTGCAGAAATGAAAATTCAGGAGACTGAAACTAGAATCTGAGTTTCTTTCTAGAAACTTCTTTCCCAACCTTGGACCTCTTGGCTGCTGTAAGTCCTGGATATATGATAGATGATGACAACATTTTTATGGTAAGGCTTATGATGAAATTGAGAAGCTTTGATATGCATACAAATCTTTGAAAATTCAGCTTTGTGACATTATGGCTAGCTGCTAAGGTGCTACAAATTTTATTTTTTAAAAAGTCAAAGATAGGGCCGGCTGAGTGGCACGTTGGTTAGGAGTTGGCTTGGGACGCCAGCTCTGAGCAGCAGGGCCCTGGTTTGGATCCCACATGAGTACCAGAGACACTGCACCCTCTACAGCTAAGATGGCAAACAACAGTTCGACCTGGAGCTGGGCTGCCGTGAGTCGCTGGCAAGGGCATAGGCTGCAGTGGTGCTGGCTGGCAGCAGGTGTGAGCTTTTGCGAGCTGCCGTGAGCCGCTGTGAGCAGCTGTCCAATGGCCGGCGAGTGACTGCCTCATCTGGGAAGAGCACAATGATAATACCAACATGGGCCAGTGAAGTGACGTCCTCCACAACTAGACTGAAGAACAAAAGTACAGCAATTTGTCTGTTCCCCTTCCCCTGATTCCCCAATAAAATCTTTAAAAAAAAGAAAGTCAAAGATATTGAGAGGTAGCATAGTATAGTAGCAATACATAGGTCAGACTGGAGTCAGGCTGGGTTCAAACCCATCCTCTCAACCAGCTATGTAACCTTGGCAAGTTTCTTAATATCTCAGTTTCTTAGTGTCTATATTTTAGGAGAAGATAATACTAGTAAGTGACTCAATAGTGCTTGACTTTGGAGATTAAATTAGATAATAAATGTGTGGGCCTTAGAACGTTGTTAAGCATATAGTAAATGCTCAGTAGATGTTAGCTATTTTATCAGTGTCCATGTGTATATTTATCTTAGACTTTTGCGCTACCTGGTAATTTCTGAATCTGCATAATAGGGTGTCAGAAATTCTCTTATTGCTTATGCGCATCTTTCTTCCACTTGGTCTGTCCCTCATTATCTTTGCCCCACAGCCTAATTTAATTCTTTTTTTTTTTTTTTAATTTTACTGGGGAACAGTGTTTGTCCAGGACCCACTAGCTCCAAGTCAAGTAGTTTTTCAATCTAGTTGTGGAGGGCACAACTCAGTGGCCCATGTGGGAATCGAACCAGCAATCTTGGTGTTAGGAGCACTGTGCTCTAACCAACTGAGCTAACCAGCTGCCCTGCCTAATTTAATTCTGGAATTAAGCAAAGTAATTCAAGGTAATAAGGACTATAGTGTGTATCCCTATATAATTGTTCCAGTAATATTTTCCCTAGTTAATTATTCTTGGTTTTGGCACTAATTTTTTTTATCATCTAATCCCTCATTTTGTCTGTATAGCTGGACCAGTTGATATGTTTTAGCTCTTGACTAACTCTAAAAATTTAGATGTAGGATTCCTGTAAGAGTCATTTGATATCTTTTTTTAAAAATCAATATTTCTTATAACATTTATTAGAATTTATTAAAATGTTTGGAGATAAACTTTGATGGCTGTTCCTCTCACTGCTTGGAGCCTTAGGTAGTGGGATTTTAGTCCATCATATATTGAAGCTGACTTGTCTTCACTCAGAGCACCATGGGGATGGGTTGGCTATCCATTAGTGCCTCTGATTTTTGCGGAGTCAAACAATTACAAAGCAGGTGGTAATTCTAGATTAAGAAAATGTGCCTGTGATTTAAAAACAAAACTAGATTTAAAATATGAGTATATAGTTTATAGAGAATACTTTGATTGCAATAGTATTTGAATAGCACTGATCTGGGGCTATGAAACGAGCTCTAGTGAATTGATCTGGGAGTTTCTGAAACATACTATGAAGTCATTCATGTTTAAATTTTAAATGGTTTACTCAGTTTTCTACTGAGTGATTGTTCACATAGTCAGGGCAATACTAAAAATATCTTTCTCTTTGCAGTATGAAGGTAGATGATTCTTCAAACTGAAGATGAAAGCTGACTTTTCTCACCAGAAATGGTTTATAGAATCAACTTGCAAAAATGTAAGAGGCAGCAAAAGAAAGAGAAAAATATTTTTATCGTTCTTACATTTCACAATGTAAATTCCATGAAAACAGGCTAACTTCCCTATCCTTAACATCTGGCCCAGAATAGACAATCAATAAAATAAACTATCTGGGTACCAATGAATCTACTTAAAACACATCTGGTTATGATGCTTGATCCTTTAAGAGGCAATAAGTGGCTGTGAAAACCTATGTATGTGAGGAATAGATATATAAAAGCTTACTGATATTTAATAGAAAATCTTTTATGAACATTTTATAGCATTATTGAATATTTACCATTGATTTAAATTACACATACCACTCAAGTATGATAAAAAAAGCCATTATTTCTGTTTTATATTTAATGTGGAAATATTCTCAGTTTTGGTTAAATTATACTACAGGGAATTTTTTGCCCAATGTATTGTACTTAGATTCATGAGGGTATATTTAACATGCGAAAGGTATAAAATACACATCCAAATATTGGAAGTCTGGTATACTTCACTGTATTTTGGAATGAGATTTAATACTCATGCTTATACCAGAATCACACCAATGGTATGCAACTATAATAACCT